TATCTTACTGTTTACTGGCTCGCTTTTCACTTGTCATTGCCCTTGAACTCTTCCATGTAGCACTTCAAAGAAATTCCTTGCTGATGAGGACGCTCTCTCTAGTAACTTTTCCATTATTGAAGGCCGTCTACAAACGATCGCAGCACTGATTATTACACACCAACATGGTTTGATCTTTTTTCATTACTGCCTTTCGAAGGTATGGTTTGAACTAATTTATTACAATATTTTCTTAATTACTTACGAAATTCTTCTTCGGTCTAAGTTTCTCGAGAATTATTCATTTGGTCACACTATCGTTTAACTCAAGCATGTCTTACATTGTGAGTTGAACACTACAGATTTTGTTCTGAGCTGTCGAGATGCTATCTGCAATAGCATCCACTCGGCTCAAACGTGGTGTTGTAATGGCAAAATCTCGGCTCTCGTAATGCTTCGATTTTACTCGTGAGAATCGTTTACACATATGAATGAGCCTGTGATAGTATCTGCCGTTTATGAGGCTATTACCGTAGGAAGTCCGCTCTCAAGTGCAATGGATGTGATATAAGGGCGTTGAATCAATTCCAACTTGGGCTGAGCCCTTGCAGGTCTAGCATCCAAATGGGTGATAGGTGTGAAAGCATACCAGCTCGTAGAAGAAAGACGTGATGAGATTATATAATGACTATTGGAATCCAACGCTTAGTTCTACATGGTCTTGTGAGACTTGCGTCTAACCAACATGCAGAGTGGCAGATCAGGGTCGGCCATAGTGATCATTCTTTCCCCAAAGGCAACACTTGTTTTTGTAATTTTTTGTGAAAGTATTTAAAATAATTACCATAGATAGATATCATCCTCCCCAAAGTACTCCCATTTTGAATATATAGGCGTTTCTGCTACACTTTTTTTTTTAAATTCAAGATAACAATAAAAATGTTATTTCAAATACATTTATGTGAAGTTAGAACGGAAACAGGACCCCCCCTTGAAATACTACCTCGATCTGCCCTTGATGGTGAAGTGAGTTCGATGCCATTGGAGTGAGGCGAGCATCAACATCTCCAGTCCGCTTCTCGGTGACCCCGGCTCACCAAATCGCAACCAACAAGCTGAACGAACATCCCGCACGACCTCTTTAAAAAAATACCACTAGCACAACGTTCCAGCTTCCTCGCATGATGGGCATGATAAGCGCTACGTGCGTGTGAGAGGGGGTCGTAGAATCCACCACGCCAAGTGAGCCGCATGACCTCTTTGGAGCAAGCATGCCACGTGCAGCGACTTCCCAGTCCACAACGCGCGGAACGGGAGGGTCGCCGAATCCGATCGAGTGGCCTCGCGCGCGGGAGCGGGTACGACCTCTTTAAAGAGCGCGGCGAGCGGCGTCACCGCCGCCCCCCCGTCCGCGCAATCCGCATAAATCAGCTCCGCGCGGCGGGGAGGGGGCGTTATTCATTAGGCGGGCGCGGGGCCGGGGCTGCTGTATCGGTGGTAATTGCGGGCGAGCGACCGCGGGGCCGCGGGGCTGGGGAGAGGGCGCGGGCGCGGGGCGCGGGCGGCGGCCGTGGGCGATGTGTCCCGCGGGCGCCGTTCCGCAGATTGGGCCTGCGCCGCCGCGGCGCGGCCGCTCATTGGGCACCGCCCCCGCCGCCGCCGCCGCGACGCCCAGGGCGCACGGCTCCCCCGGGGGTGGCGTCGGGCGGGGTCGGTGGAGATGGGAGTGGCGTCGGGGCGGGTGGTGGAGAAGTGGTGGGGGTGGTCGTGGTAGTGTCGGTGACCGTGCGATGGAAGCAGCGACACACGCGGCGTGCGCGTTAAGAGCAGCTACTGCAACAGGAATGTTGGACGGCAGGGGCTGGGGAAGGTGGTGGCGGGCTGGTGAGGGTAGCGGGTGTAGAGTGGACAGCGGGATGATTCAACGGAGTGCGGGAGCGGCAGGGCCGGTGTAGAGTGCAGAAGCGTGAGGATGGCGGGGACAAAGTGGGTCGGCGTCAGGGGCGGAAGCGGGTCTGAAATACGTGGGCGATTGAGCAGCGGGATGGCTTGAAGCACGAATACTTCCGAGGACGTTGGTTCGGCGCGGATAGAGGCAGCGCGGCGGGGGAGCAGGTCGAGATGTGAAGTGGAATGACGGTGGATATGGAAAGGTTGGTAAAACATTAGGGTGGAGTTCGGTGATGGTGAAGTGGAGGCGCGAGGTTAGTAGATGTGGTATGGAGTGATGTATGGCGAAGTGGCTGAGGTTGGCAGGCGTGGCGTGGTTGGCTGGATGCGTTAAGGGCAGCGGGTTGCGGCGTGGTGTGCATGAGGACGACGTGGAGTGTGGATGCAGCGAGGCCGGCAGTAGAAGCGTGTAATGATGTGGTGACGTGGAGTATGGGAATGGCGGGGAGTGCCGGCGTGGCAAGCGCGGCAAAGGCGTCAAAGACGTCAGAGTTGGCAAGGGCGACGAGGGCGGGATGGCGGTTGGGGGCGGAGATGTTTGAAGAGGCGGCGGGGTGGCGAGGACGGCGGGGTGGCGAGGGAGGCGGGGGTGGCGAGGGCGTGGGTTGGTGTGAGCGGAGGGATGGCGAGGGCGGTGGGGTTGGTGTGAGCGGAGGGATGGCGAGGCGGTGGGGGTGGCGAGGTTGAAGGGGATGGCGAGGGAGCGGGGTTGGGGGGCGTGGGGGTGAGGACGGCGGTGGTGAAGTGGGGGCGGGCGTTGCGATGGTGGCGAGAGCGGCAGGAGTGGCGAGGGCGACGGGGTGGTGAGTTTAGGGGGGTTGCGATGGCGGCGGGGTGGCGTTGGCGGCGAGGACGGCAAGGCGGGGTGACTGGGACGATTAGTGCAGGGACCGGAGGGCTTCTGGGCCGGGCACCACAGCGAGAGCTCTGGGGTCGTAGCGAGGGGTGCCGATGCGTCGCCCCACGCTCGAACATTGTCCACAAGGTTTCGTTCCCGCATTTGTGCTGAATAGTTTGAGCTCGCGGTTATGAAAGAATGTGCCTATTTATTATGATTTCTGTGGAAACAGCATTTTCCCCTATTTTCTCCAGGAACTGATTTCGACCCGCAGGATATTAATAACGAGTGTCCAGAAAAATATAAATCTTCTGTTCCAAACATTTTATAAATACATAAGAAAAATTAAAGTTCGGGTTCTAGATCGTAAATGGATCATACGTATTACCGACGTCATGCAAATATGAATAATGACAGAACAAGTTTGGCTTTCATTATCTCGCAGTTTATTAGTATGGAGTGAATGACAGATAAAACACATCTCCTAGATAGATATTCGAAATATTTCAAGGCAGGTAGGTATCTACTTAGAATATACTCATGGACTCTGTAAGAAAGGTGGAGGAGATATTAGTTTATAGGGCTGTTATTGTATCTTTTTATTTATCTGTGTAGTCTAAAACATATGTGCAATATATTGAACTATTTTGGCTAAACTCGTGATAACTTACTAAATACTTACACAAAAGGAAATCGCCAACAGCAAACTCGTTCATGAGAATGGTTCATTCAATAACCTCCTAGGGAATATTCAAAATACGATTATGATCGTGAACTAAGTTTTTCTTCCAGGCAATATGTTCCCCAGTTTCTTCGCTATCATCTGCAGTGCATGTACTCGTAGCTGCGACCCCGCGCTAAACAATGCCACTTGGATCAAGGAGCGGCCGCGGCTTGTTGGCGCGTATGCTGAGAATGCTCTATCACGGCAGCGCAGCAGCAATCTCATTTATGTGTCAACACTCGCAAACCCACAGTCGTCTTAAGGATGTAAGCAAGCAGGAGTGGCAGCAATTTATCGTGAGATGTTGGACCTCAGAAAAATCTATTGCAACCTGTATTCAAACAAATGGATTCCACTCAAATGAGATGCAATTACGAAGATATTTTGATAATAAAATTACTTTTCGTTGAAAAAACACGTGAGTAGTCATTTAGAAATGTCGGCTTCCAATCAGTCACTCTGTAATGAGAATTGTGCGATTTGCTGCAAACTCAAGGAAACGTGCGAAGAATAGAACTCCTTCCCTATATATCACATACATTTTTTACTGTCCTTTGGCAAAAATAACGTGAATCAACGCGTCTATTTGCCTAATTGTATAGTTCTGATACTTTCGATGCACTTCCGTCGTATCTAGGGCGGCTTCCTCTTCTATGAGTAGGCGCTTTGCACATGTTATTAGGCTATCGATTTTTCATTCGCATGTCATGCCTACCCATTCAGCCTTTCCTATTTTCCTTGGATTTTATCAATCATGGAGGTTCGACTTTTATTATTCTCCCTATTTCCTCATTTTTTACTTCAAAGAATTGTGTTATATTAAAGCAAAGACTTCAAAAGAAAACATCTATTGATGCTCCTGTAATTAGATTCCATGACCACGTATAAGTTCCATAAAATATAAAACTATCAAAGGTCATATTTCCTCTGACTTTTGCTTCTTCTACTATTCCTGTTCTGGTGAAAGTGGTTTAAAGTAAAAAACACGACTTCTTATCAACACTTCTTTTCAACAAATGGTAAATAGATGGAAACAACTTCATTTTCCAACTCATGTGGAAGACCTTCTTGATAGAACACAAAGATACGTTGCTCCATAAATCTTCGATTGTTTTTAAATGACTTATTGTAACATGCAAATGTTTGACAAATTGACAAGCATGCAAAAATCGCAAAAAATTAGGAGAAAATTACGCTAACGAGTCCATTTTGTGCTGACAAGTTCATGCATTTTGTATTTGTTAGTAGAGTTCTATTTTAGTAATATCAATAAGGAAACTCGTTTTATGACTAAAATCGCTTTCACTTATCAAATTTGTTGTTTTTTGTTTAAATCGAGGGAAATTTAAACTCAAGCATTCATCAACTAGTTACCAAATAAATATCAAAAAAAATGCTTAAGGGAAAACTCCGTCACATTATTAATAATAATTCTTATATGATACGTGAAAGTCCGAGTTTGCATGTCATTCTTATTAAAAATAAGGCATGTTTTTGTAATTCAAATACCTTGATAAGTGATTTCTTTCTTCTCTGCTAGTACTAATACTTCTTGACTGAGGGCTTCTGAATAAAATATGTCAATAATTTCATGCCCTGCAGGACAAAAGAAAAGTAGTGAATATACTGTTTGTACGCAAATGGATAAAAATGCAAGAAAATACAATTAATTTCTCCCTAACTCAGTACTACTCGTACTATATGGGCATAACACAAAGAAAGGAACGAATAAGCAACTTTTAACGCCAGGCAGTCTTCAAAGATTTTAATGGGCATGCGATACGCTTAAAATCTTTGCAGTCGCTCTGAAACAGCCGCTAGCCTTTAAGGATTCACGTAATATTGAAAAGTAATTATTTACTTCGTAACAAATTAATGAGTTACAGGAATCATGGCAAACGAGTTCTCGTATTTAAAGCAAAGGTACTTCTGATTGATGTATATTCTATTTAGAAAGTGACATTACGAAACGGCCATAACACAAATTATGGACTCCGTCATAAACCTCAGCTCTCGTCTTAGTTTACTAAGTCAGTTCAACTGAGTCAGTTACTTACCCTTTATTGATCTTATGACAGTAATGCGATAATTACGTGTATCACTACTAGGATTTTTTCTCGCAATGTCACTATCACAATACTACAAATACCCAAAAGATTTCAGAAAGCAATTTGGTTTTTCAGCATTCTTTTTTTAGTAATCGGTGGAGTCTAATTGAAGCTGTATTTCTTTGTAAATACGAAAGCATTTCAAGGATTCATCTTCGTGTTATTATTTCTAGTAACATTATGAACAAGACGGTACAAAATTGTCCCGCTAACAAAAGTACAATGTCTCAACGTCGGGCCGCATAATGTGTGCAACTATTCAGTTAATTAAAATTGATTGAAATAATAACAATTTGTTTTTGCTGAAAACAATTTGTTTTTCCTTGAAGCGAGTAAAAAGTTAAAGAATCAGATAGTTTTCAGTTGCAATAAGAGCAAGTTGAAGATAAATTAACAATTTCTTCATGTATCTCTTCCACGAATCCCACAAACAGAATCATCAGCAACCGATGGTCCAAGTTCCTTGAAATATTTATTTCAACTCAAGTACACTTACTAGAAAATTCTTCAGAAAACTAATGTGCAGGGCAACAAGCTTCTTAGTCTTGGGGCGTATAATTGTTAAAATTGTTTGATAGATTCCACTATAAAAGCCAATTATCAGTTAGTCAATATTTTATATAGTGCATAATGGAAAAGTACATGGAGATATACACCGACTAGACGGGGCATGATATAATAATTGATTTTTGAAATGAGAATAACCGCCAGTTTGAGCGAGAAAGCTGCCACTGAGGGCGGGAGAGAGCAGAGCATGAGAAAGAAGAGGGCCGGGAAGGCTGGCGAGGGCGAATGGATTTAGAAGGTGGTAATGGTAGCGCTAGTGGTGGTTGTGGTGGTTTTGGTGGTGGTGGTGGTGCGTGTGTGTATGTGTTCGTGTGTATGCGTGTGCGAAGGGTCTTCGATGGTTCGATGGGCAGGCGATGAGTAGACAATGGGTGTGTGGTGAGTGTGGACGACGAGAGCGAATCATCTTGAATGCCCAAGCAGCGTGTGTAATAAATGTGCGTTGTTCTTACTGTACTATACGCGAGGTCTGTGGTTTGATGGGCATAAGATTAACGCGATAGGCGTGCTATTGCCACGTGATGAAAGTGCGGTAAACGCATGTATAGGCGTACGGTGTGCGAGCCACGTGAAAGTGTGTCGGGGAGCATGGAAGTACGATGCTTGTACGGAATTTGAGAGATGAGCGTTCGCTGGGTGGGTGTGCACTGGGCACGAGATGGGTGTACGAGTGGGTACGCGTTAGCTCTGCGGTGGATGAGCACTGTGCGCCCGGTGTGGCAGCCACGTGCAAGCGTGTGTGAGCTGGGGAGTGCGTTGCCTGTTCGGTGTTTCAGCATTGGGGTTGGGTACGTGGGCACGAGTTAAGTGTGCGGCGGGCGCGCGCCGAGCGAACGGTGTGCGAGCGGTGGGCACGTGACGGGCAGTGTGGGGGCAACGGGCTGGCAGCGTGCGGAGGGCGCCGCGCCGGTCGCCTCCGCGTGAATGGCAGCGGCGGCGCCGCCCATCGCAACAGATTTATTTATTTATTGCGGCACTTGGCTTGATTTAAATGACAATATAGGGGATTATAATAAGATTACGAGCGCCGGCGCGCCGCCGCTTCCCCCGTGAATGGACGGCGAGTGAATGGAGCAACCTGCCGAGCGGCGCGCGGGCGGAAGGCGGTGTGGTCTCCCGCGCCGCGCACACAGCGCGGCCTCCCGCGCAACGGGGCCGGCGGAGCTTTCTCCGGCGACACGCGCGTGGAGCGCGGTGGCGGCCCCGGGGACGCGCGTTGCGATACTCCGCGCACTCCACGTGGGAGGAGACTTTCGTTTGGGATTTCTCTGCAGTCGGAAGCGAGATTGTATTGTTCGTATGAGTCAAATTTTCGTTGTTTGTTTATATAGCCTAAGGGCAACATTTCGATATTAATAATTATCAGTTTTGTTTCTAAACTATCTGTTCGTACAAAAAATTGTTGTAAAACACCGGTTTTTTAAAAGCGAATTTAAATAGTAGATTAGGTTAGTGGCGTAGGGCCCAGCGCTTGGGTACCGATCTTACTAGTAGGCAGACACCTTCGGCAACGTACACTATGAGTTAGACAATAAACACATACTGATTGTATTGATTATTATTTAGAAGTGAAGGCAAAAGATGGATAATATTCCCTTTCTGCTACCAAATTTGCAGTATTTGTTTTAAAAAAGGATATGATAAGAATAACTATACTGATCTTGAATAATACATATAGATTGATACATTGATCCAGAAACTGTCATTTTAAACGAGTTATTTTCTGTCATTTTTACAATCTGTACTGTTTATTTATGGTACAAACAAATAAACGGAGTACACCACTCCTCTTATTTAAGAAATACTCAAAATATCTTTGGATAATAATCAGCTTCATTAAAACACCCTGAAATGTCTGATTGTTAAGCAAAATTCGTTGAATTTCTGAAAATGTCCATCATATAATCAATGTTGAAAATTCTGATAATATGACGTACAAATATTCATACTGTTAGCCTTTGTTAGTATCAATATGCAATGTCGTAACGAACTGCCACATCCCTGTTACTATAGCATCACTTTATCTTGTGATCCGACGCTTGTTCAACCTTGCCTGCAAAAATTCGCAAATCCATCATTAACGTTATTTGCTGCCTCGTCTGAGCTTCGTCCATTAAACGACACAGAACCTCTTCGAAAATTTGCATTTCATGTTCGTTTAAGTGACAATGAATGCAACTTGCTACTATCAAATACTTTTAATCATTTAACATGTGTACTGTTATCTTCAAATCAGCCTCCTCTTGCGTTTGTTTGCTTTTTGTGAAATACTTTACTCCTTTTCACTAATGGTAGTATATTATATTTATTACAGGACATAAATATTACAATAGTTTAAGTAAAAAATAAATAGAATAAATTTAATTTCCATCTAATGAGAATATTAAACAGAAGTATCTATGGAATTGTTTCTATTGTATGCCTGAAAACTTGCTTTCCGACTAGTATCTGCTTCTAGGAAAGCAACCGCACTACCTGCTGTGCCTAAAAGCGGAAAACGGGATCTGCAAGTAGCCACCACACAGAAACTACCTGCCTGACAAGTGACTCCGTCTCGAAACCTCTGAGAACCTGGCAATGACAAATGGGTCTCCTCTTTTGTCTGGAACTCAACTAACAGAGGCATCGACCGCAGACAACTGTCACTGACCCGGGTTCAAAGGCCTCAATGCCCTCTACTAAGTACGAAATCCACTTTCGCAAACCACAGGCAGGGTTTATGTGCTCTCTCTGAAGCATCGTGTGGGCTGGGCGTGCAGTAGACTTTGTAACCCTTTCGCTACACATCGGAATCTGTACACTACATTGCATTCTTTGTGTGAACTTCCAGGGTTACTGCTAGCGAGGCAAGCATAGAGAAGGTGACGTGTTGCTGTCAGTTTCTTCCGGCGTTGGAGCATTTGTGAAGGTTCCTGGCGAACTTCTCCCTCCACCTTTTCCTCCTCCCCCTCGAAGGGTAGCCCTTCAGAGGGGCAACGCCCAGCAAAACATATTTTCCTCTCATTACATTTCTAAAACGTTGAGAAATTGGTGGTAGTTATTCGCAACTGCCAAGGCGTCTTCTCTTCGGGCGCTCCCCGTTGCAAACTGCGCCAAACGACTTCTGTAAAGGGGGCCATACGAGCGAACGCTGGTCGCAAGCTGTGCTCGCTCGTAGACTTTGCAATTACGAAGTAGAACTTGTGAGTTTTGCTTCTTCTTAATTGCACGTCCGACACAATTGCATTGTCCACCTTTCAGAAATTGATCGAACTTTGTTGCATTGGACAGATTTACAACCGGTGCGAGGCAAGCTTGTCAAGCGAGGCTCGCCCGTGTGTGCGAAATATACGGGCTACTTAGATAGACCTCGGCACAGTAGTGTAAGAGAGAACCAAGTCACCACTATTGATACCGAACACACATTTTTATACTTTTATGAGCAGAGTTGGGATTTGTTATTAGTTTAGTGGAAATGAAATAGGAATTTTTCTGGAGATGCGCTCCAAAACGTTACCATATGAACTGATGTTCTAATTTTAGAGGGAGATAGATAGTGAGTTATTCGTTTTTTGTTCAAATAGGTGCTACTCTAAATACACTGCATCAAATATTCTGTCAATCCTGAGAGTTCAAAAGTTACAGAGGAAGTTCTAGAAAACATCGCAGGATTACACATTATAAACAGAAGTCTTCATTATTTGGCCGAGAAAAAAATCATAAATGTGCCCAACTACCACTCACACCCATCTTGGAAAGAGGACAAGAGCAAAACCAACAGCCCCGCTTCACAAATCAATCTTTACTAATCACCCCATAAGACGTTAATACCTTTTTAGACAATTCTTAAAACAAAGCACATAGAAAGATAGATGTGACTTAATTACGTATTTGTTGACGCGCATGCTACAAACGTATTTTTAACAAGTTTAAATAATGG